TTGTGAAGGTAAGCTCTTTTTGTTTTGTACTTTTAAATAAAGTTTTCAGAGTTTGAGTGTTTGTTATTGGATGAATACTTCTATATTACTTTTATGTTGAGCTTAAATTCTATGTTATCCATGTTATGGCCTTTAATTTTTGCAAACTCATCACCAAATGTTTATCATCAATGCTAAAGGTACTCTATTCAAAAAGTTGATGATCAGTCTTATTTACTTCTGTTTATAAATTCTGCGATAGTTCAATTCCCAAATTCTATTACAAATCATTTTGTAGTAGTTTTTACAATTATCTTCTTTTTTAATTTTGTTATAAGTTTGAAATTTCCTGCAATCATATGTTCTTTCCCTTTTGTTTTGCTTATTCTTTGGTGCTTTACCTACATTAACCATTCATTTTCTATTTTTATTGCACAAGTCACTGACTTACCCTTTATTCTCTATTACAAGATTAGTAAGATCAAAATTTATATTGGTATTTATATAGAATTCACTATAAAACTTATTGTTCCGATGAAAAGTGATCATAATATGTTAATGATACCTAAAAGAAAAACGTGGAAATGTGGTTCGAATGTTATAATGCTCAAAGGGTAGATAGTGTGGAAAAGTGTTTCAAAAGAGAAAAATTCAATATTGAAAAAAAAAATCTATATTGAAGGAGATAATTCTCATATTGTAGAATGGGAGGAAAAGTTGATCCATGAAGATAAAATGAGCCACAATTTTCGAGTCAAAAATATCTTAACATTATCAATTTAATGAAGTTAGTTAACATAATTGGTTGGGTTTGTTCATTTTTGGATAAACTTGTGATCTATAGTGTACCATTCTTAACTATTGTGCAAGATTATATATGTAGTGCAAAACCGGATACATGGTTATATATAATGCTTTGACGCCAGCATTATTTTTTATGTTTATTCTCATTTAATTTTTGATATATTTTATTATAAACACTACTTTTCAAGATATCTTTCATTGTTTCATTTTCTATTTTCCCCACATTATACACAAACATGAATTTATTATTTATCTACAAAAATGACAATATTAAAAATAAAGTAGATACTATTATTTATAAATTATTTCAAATAACTTCATTTTTGTAGATTGAATAACAATTTCCTTCTAAATAAATAACGTCATTTTAATTTCTTTAAACAATCTGCAAAAATATCACTAACTTTAATTTTTCTATTCAATTTCTTATCAAACTATTTATAAAATTTTATACACTTGCTAATGGTATGGGTCCTTCTCTAATTTTATATATTATATCATCTGAAATAGTAAATTTTAGGAATGAAATGGAGTGTTAAACCATATCTTCTTAAAAAAAGATAACAACAGTTTTTTTTTTAATTAAGAAAAAAATGATTCGAATTTTATTTTTTATATAAAAAATAATATATTAATTAATAAACTAAATACTCATATATAAAAAAGATAACAATAATTAATCAACTTGCATAGACCATGTATGATGTTGAGTTGATAAGTACTAATCATTGGAGATGGATCCCAGAAAGCAAAGTAGTGCAACATTTTTTGGGGCATTCAACCTAGTCACAATCCCGGCGTTGGATATACCAAAAAGCGCATTGATTTACAGCAGTATTTCACCCATCAAACTGGACCCCACATATTAATCCAGCCCAATCATCATCCCCATGCAAGACTTTCCCCGTCTTGTCTCCAAAGTTACTGACAAAACATCCCTCTACCATCCCATCCCAGTCTGATCAGCAAGCGAATATTTCCCAATCTCCAGTAGTCCGCCCATCATCCACCTTCCGGGCGCCACTTCAGGAACCATACCATCTGCACCCTTCATCATCTCCTCTTTCCCCTAAGCTCCACTAGGCAATCAAACTCCGCGATGCACCGAATCTTCCATCTCATTTCCTCAAAACTTCACCTGATGACACGTGTCCTATTCAACCAATATGGACAGGTGTCGTATAGGTTTGGATATTGTGTATCCTTCCTAATCTATGCGGTCGATTACATGTAACTCTAAAGAGTTTCAAAGTTCATGCGTATCGTAAGGCAAAAGCCACGTGAAGATAACAAAAGTTAAGTTATGATGCTGATGCTTTTATGTCATAGAGATGCGTGTGTCTGCAAGATATTTATGTCCGAACAATTTTAACCGCCCACGTGTTTTAGTATGCACTAATCCGAATTACCCGGAGAACTGTTCCCCACGTGATGTACGATCAAGAGGACAAGTGAATGGTGCAGATTCGATTATGTTAATCTAGTCAGATCTTTGTCGACAGCGAAGAAGAAAGATCCAAATCGAGGGGACGGAAAAGAAAAATTCTTCTTCTATCTCAATTAATTTTGTTATAATAAATTAATTTTAATTATGACTTTATTATTTTAACTATTTTATCAATTAAATTTTAAAAAAAATATACAAGTGCTACTTAATTCAAAGTTTTAAATATATTTTTATATCTTATTAATGATATATATATATAATAATAAGAGGTCAAAATTGAAAAAGTTTTTCTTTCTCATTTTTGCAATATTTTTCTTAAAGGATATAGTAAATTAGAATAAGAAAAGAGGGTTAAAATGGGTAAAGGAGTTCAGCTTTCTTAAGCGCTTGTCTTAACGTAAACGTCCAAGAAATGAAGGATAAAGAGCGAAGACCATGACACATTCAGCAAACAGATCTGGTTTAATCAATGATGCCGATGACGTGGAGGATGAGGTTCGCTTAAACGAGGAAAATGTTAATCACCATGCCAATAATGATTCTACTCAATTAGTAATATTACCAAGCAAACTTGGATTAAGACTGATGTGGAATTTTGGATTCTTTGGTTCTTGCTTTTCGCTCCAAACATCATCATACGTGGCGTTGAATTCGGTCGAATCCAGAGCACAAATCTTATCAGATGGAAACAAAAAATCAAGTTGAAATTTAACCTAATCATATCATTTATCAATAATTGAACCAATTCTAAAGAGTAGCTGTGGTAGTATGTGGATTAACTCTGATGATCTCTTTAACATCTAAATTAAGCCAAGTTCAAATTGATAAGACTTGTTCATTTAAATTAAATTTATATTAATATTTTAATATTTAAAATATATTTTAACACTAAAATTAAAAAATTAATATAATAATATTTCAAGCTTAAAAAATCATACATAAAACACTTTTGACAAACATGTACACTCAATATATTTTTTTCTACATTATTTATTCACATAAACTATTGATACAATAAATTACCACTTTATATAAATGATTTAAGTGAAAATAATTGATTACAATAATAATAATAATCAAAATTGAGCTAATAATTACTTAACTAAACAAAAACTAATAAGTAATAACTATATAATTACAAGTTCAGTTAATGATTTACGCAAATAACTACTCAATTTTTCTCTTGGTATTATGAATTTATAATTGGTTTTAGTCATTGATAGGCTTTTTTAGTGATTAAGTTATCACTGAAATAAATATTTTTATTAATTAATTTATAATCGTAACTTATTGTAAAGATTATTTTTTTAAAATTTAATAATTTCGATTAGATGCATTTTCCCTATCCTTTGGAAGGCATATTATTATTTATTATTAATTTGCTTTTTGGCAGACAAATACAATTTTCTTTTATTGAGCCACGGGTTACCTTGGCTCAATGTTCACGGTTGTCCTGCACAATCTTTGGTTCTAGCTTTGAACCTAGAATTTAGCCCTGGAATCCAAGAAAAGAAAAGAAAACCTTGAGTTTAGCTGGCAGCCCTAGCTAGAGATAGCTATATTAGTCCTTAAAACGGGTGGGTTAACTAACGGGACCAAGCCACAGGTTCAATCAAATAAATCTCATCGTCCAGGGGACCAAGTTTTAAGCATTGAATTATGAGTTTGGCTATGGTATGGTTTGTTTCTCGACGAGATTCGTCCATAGCATTGGAATTTGTCCGGATTCAGTTAAATGTTGGCGGTGTTTCAGTTCTCTCCTAAATAAACATCAAAGTTCAGGAAGACATGATCTTGTGTTTCCCCCGTGAAATGGCAGTTACATACAATCACCTCAACCAATTATAACCTTCCTTAATACTATATACGTTATACAACTAGCATAAGAAAAAGGCAGAAATATTTTATTGATATTGCCCCTCTTCTGATGCAGGAAAAGTCAGAGAGTAAAAACCATCAAACAAGTAATACGGCAGCTAGCTAACCCCAGTTCATAGGAGGATCATGGATTGAATTCATTAATTGATCTACAATAATGAATAATTCAATCCAATAATTGATCATGGATATCGTTATATTATTACGCTATCAACTTCAAAACAAAAACATCAATCACATAACGAAAAAAACTGATGAAATTCGTAATTCAAGATCTCTCCTATTTTTCATAGAAAGGAGCAGCCCACTTGCCCTATTTGGCTCTTTTGCCTGTAGCTCCCACTAGCTCCAACTGACGGCTCCCAAGTCCCCAAAAAACCAGCTATTTTATCCAAAAATAAAAAGAGGGTCCAGCCCATATAATCAATGATTGATCATGGCGGTGTCTTTTTCACCTGCTGCACGTTCCCCATACGTAAGGGAAGATTTTTCTGCCACTTGTTTTCCCAAATTTTCAACAGTCAAAAATGTAAAACGTTCCTTTGCCTTGTAAAAATGTTCCACGGAATTAAAAAAACGCAGCCGTTTGATGAGGTGTGCCACGTGGAAATGTCAATTTCGAAGCTACGCGTATGGTTTTTGACTTTTCTGACGCGTGAGAGGCGTAGTACAGTGCCTACGTGGACACTAATCAGCTCGCATTAAAAATTATACACACCAGGACGAAAAAAGTTGTTTGAAAGTGAACAAAGCTTTCGGGTCGGCATAAAAGAACGGAGAACTCGGATTGGTACAACGTGGATCCGACGTGGCAATATAATCCACCGTTAAGTTTAACAGCTTAACCGAGGTAAAGAAGAAACTTATAAAAAAGAAAAAAAAATTAGAGAAAGACGGAGATTGAGAGAGAGAAGTAGAGGGAAAATATAATGTCAAATACATGTTACAGTTCACGATTCTTAGCTATAAATAAGAGATTTTCTTTTGTTCACCGTTACTCAAAATCGAATCTAATTCTAAGTCTACAGTTCTCTCGAAACATTTCAAAGCAAAATTTTCAGAAACATTTCAGTTCTGGTATTTCCGGTGTCGGAGTTTCTCCAAATCCAGCGTTATCCGTGTTGTCTTTTAAGGTAATTAGGAGCTCGCATTTTCTTTCTTTAAGTTTTTATATTTTAATTTTATGGTTTCTGAATGGGTATTTTGGAATTTTCAGAGAAGTGATTTAAGGCCACCTTTGAAGAAGTTATACAAAGAAGAAGAAGGAAAAGTAGAAGAAATGACGATTAAACCCGCGGTTAGGATCGCCGAGAGGAAATTAATCGTAAAGGACCGGACAATTTTGACGGGAGTTCCCGAAAATGTGATGGCGACGTCCGGTTCTGAATCCGGTCCTGTCGAGGGAGTTTTCCTCGGAGCGGTTTTTGATGAAGAGAACAGCAGGCATGTGGTCCCCATCGGTACGTTACGCGACGTCCGGTTCATGTCCTGCTTTAGGTTCAAGTTATGGTGGATGGCCCAGAAAATGGGAGATCAAGGGAAGGACATTCCTCTCGAGACTCAATTCCTATTGGTCGAAACCAAAGAAGGGTCCCACCTCGACTCAACCCAAGAAAATCAAATCGTCTACACCGTATTCCTCCCTTTGATCGAAGGCTCCTTTCGAGCCGTCTTGCAAGGAAACCAAAACGACCAGCTCGAGCTGTGTTTAGAGAGTGGCGACGCGGACACGAAAGCGTCGTCGTTTACGCATGCCGTTTTCATCCACGCTGGTACCGATCCTTTTATTACGATCACGGAAGCAATCAGGGCCGTCAAATTACACCTCAAAACGTTCCGTCAACGGCACGAGAAAAAATTACCTGGAATCGTTGATTATTTCGGGTGGTGTACCTGGGACGCGTTTTACCAAGACGTTACTCAAGAAGGAGTCGAAGCTGGGCTCGAGTCTTTAGCTTCCGGTGGGACCCCTCCGAAGTTCGTGATCATCGACGACGGATGGCAATCCGTCGGTGGCGACCCCCGAGAAGAAAACAACCCATCGTCGTCGTCCGATCAGACCGATACTAAACAACAGTCGTTGCTTCGGTTGACCGGGATAAAAGAAAACGAGAAATTCCAAAAGAAGGATGATCCAACGGTAGGAATTAAAAACATCGTCAATATTGCGAAAGAAAAACACGGGTTAAATTTTGTGTACGTGTGGCACGCGATAACCGGGTATTGGGGTGGGGTCCGCCCGGGAGTTGAGGAAATGGAGGCATACGGGTCGAAAATCCGGTACCCAATGGTTTCGAAGGGAGTGGTGGATAATGAACCGGGTTGGAAAACCGACGCGATAGCGGTTCAAGGGTTGGGTTTGGTGAACCCGAAAAATGTGTACAAGTTTTACAATGAGTTGCACAGTTATCTGGCGTCTGCGGGTATAGACGGAGTGAAGGTGGACGTGCAGTGCATTTTGGAAACACTTGGAGCTGGGCTGGGTGGAAGAGTGGAGTTGACGAGGCAATATCATCAGGCTCTTGATGCATCGGTGGGGAGCAATTTTCCAGACAATGGGATCATCGCTTGCATGAGCCATAACACTGATGCACTCTACTGGTAAGCATTTCTCTCTCTCTCTCTCTCTCTCTCTCTCTCTCTCTATTATTGTTAGCTTGGTGAAATTTTTTGGGGGTTTTGGTCTGATGTGGTGGGTTTGGAATTGTGTGGAACAGTTCAAAACAGACGGCGGTGGTCAGAGCATCGGATGATTTCTACCCGCGAGATCCTGTGTCACACACCATCCACATTGCGGCGGTGGCATACAATAGCGTGTTCCTTGGGGAATTTATGTTGCCGGATTGGGACATGTTTCACTCTTGTCATCCGGCCGCCGAGTACCACGCTTCAGCACGTGCTATCAGCGGTGGTCCCCTCTATGTTAGGTAAGAATTCGCAGGCAGCATCCTCGGCCCTTTTTGATTTGTGATCATATTGTTTTGGTTTTCACTATTTAGTTATGGTTATTGTTGGTGGCTAAGTGTTGGGCTTTGTGTTTGGAACAGTGATGCGCCTGGGAGGCACAACTTTGAGATCCTGAAGAAACTGGTGTTGCCCGATGGGTCGATCCTCCGGGCTCGTTTGCCTGGACGGCCCACTCGTGATTGCTTGTTTACAGATCCAGCCCGTGATGGTGTTAGGTAAGCTAAGCGCTCTCGCTGTCTCTCCCTTTGGGTAGAATGGATAGAAATAAAAGAGTTTGGTTAGCTATTTATAATATTTTATAATTTCTTATATATTAATATTACCAACTCTTTGTAATATCAATTTGTATATCCTTAATTCCTTATTTTTAAGAATTTTAATGTGATTGTTAATGTTGATATGAAAAATCTTGAAGCTAATAAAACTGCTCCATCAATGAACAAGTCTCAAATATTAAAATTAATGTTGTTGGAGTTTGAGATGTTTACTTGTTGGCAATTCCTTATAATACTCTTTCTTTGATTGCAGCTTGTTGAAGATATGGAACATGAACAAGTACACCGGAGTGCTTGGCGTATACAACTGCCAAGGTGCAGCATGGAACGGCGCTGCGCGTAAAAATACTTTCCACCAAACCAAGGACGAGTCTATAACGGGCCATGTAAAGGGCCGTGATGTCCACCACATTGCGGAGGCCTCCATGGACCCTGCCTGGACTGGTGACTGTGCAGTCTATTCACACCGGAACGGTGAACTAATCACCCTTCCATACAATGCAACCATGCCAGTGTCCCTCAAGGTCCTTGAGCATGAAATCTTCACAGTAACACCCATCAAGGTTTTGGCTCCAGGGTTCAGTTTTGCACCATTGGGACTCATCAACATGTACAATTCTGGTGGTGCCGTTGAGGGGCTAAAATATGAAGTTAAAGATGGTGCCAAGTTTTCCGAGCTTGATGATGGATATGAAGATGAAAGCAGTGGTGTTGCTGGTGTGAGAGCGAACAATTGCAGCAATGAATTGGTGGGGAAAGTTCGCATTGAAATTAAAGGTTGCGGCAACTTTGGTGCTTATTCATCAGCAAAGCCGAGAAAGTGCACTGTTGGATCTAGTGAAGTTGAATTTGATTACGATTCATCGTCAGGATTAGTGAAGTTCAGCTTGGAAAAATTGCCCGATGAAGGGCAGAAAGTCCATGTTCTTGAAGTAGAGTTATGAGTTAGATGCAGCATGTTAAGAGTAGTGTCAGATCGAGTGAGGGAAATGTTGGGGAGTAGGTTACGCTGTGGGTGAGGTGACTTTTCATTGTTCCTTCATATTTTTTTACCCATTTATTAGTCCTATGTATTATGAGATGGAGGAAAGAAATTGAATAAAGTTTCTTATTGCTGTTAAAGCTGGTGTCTTGATTATGTTCTTTTTACCCCTATGAACCACATTTACAGCAGGAAAGAAATCCCAGAATCAAGCAATTGGAGAACTTAGTGAACGTAAAATTTGATGATATTTTTTTTTTTGCTTTTCAAAAAAAGGAAAAAAGAGTGGTTTTGCACAAGCAAAGATCCACCAAATTCTGTGAGATCTAATAACAATCCATTTACCTCTAGACCATCAAAGGATAATGACTGCTGACAGACAGCCCATCACCAATTCACAATGCTATTGGTGTCCCCAGCCACATAATGAAAGGTTCTTTCCATCCAAAGGGAGAGAAGTGGGGTTTCCAAACCCTTACAGAAGATCCACTGGTTTCATCTCATTTCCCTTTTACTCATCTCTGCAGAGCCTCAGACATAGATCCTTCATCCTTCTTTCTTGGAAATTTTGGGGACACAACCAAACTGTTGAATATTTAATCAAACTACAAATTAATGGCAACTGAAATTTCATTGAACATTTTCTTAAGAAACATTTCTCCCGTCTTCGAAGTTCAGATGCCCCTTTCCATATATACAGAAATATTTCAAATTTCAATATACCGACATAATCACAAAAGATACCAATCCCAAAACCACCACTGACTATTAATTGGACAAAAAATAGGGGCAGAATTCACTCATTTTGATATAGAAGTTGAAAGATTTCATCAGCAACATCGTCTGCCTGCTCATTTTCTTGCAGTTGTAATTGCTGTGGCTGTTCCTCTTCAGCAGGCTGTGGGTTCAATCTTGTCCGTTCATAAAAAACTTCTCTTTGGTTGTTCCAATTCTCATCTATTTTCTCCACTATTTCACTAAGAGATTCCTTATTTTCTGATATATGCTTTATGTTCTGGACATCCACCACCTCACTGGCCTCTTTAAGAAGAAATTAAATTGAAATCAGAATAAGAAAAAGATTAGATACTTGAGAAATAAAAGAAATCATTAAAAGGTAAAACCAGGCAAACAGGAAAACTAGCTTACACAAGCTGTGTAGTTTCAGTTTTAGTTTCAGAGAGTAATTTGGCACTAGAGGTAATGCAGAATGGAAATACCAACATAGAGGGAAAATGAGATATTAAAAAAAGGAAAGCCAAAAGTTATAGATATTCATGGAGAAATAATTTAAAAGCAAAATGAAATGATGAAATCATGGACATGGATGTTTTATCACTTTCAGGATGCTCTTGAGATCAATTATATTGGCAATTAGATTCATTATTATTATAATTATTATTTGGAAAATACTCATAGAATTCATGATATTCATCAATAGGTTTATGAATTATGGGAAAAGGAAATTGTAACTCATGCATGCAACATATAATACCGAATGAAGCTGCATAAAATATTAGATACATAAATGTGCTCATTTACTAAGGACAGCCAAAAGGTCAAATGCACTTCAATCAAGGTTCCAAAAATGATGAGCATGACGCCACATCAAGGTATTAAGATGGTTAGTTAAAAAATATATACAATCCTGTTAAGGCATATTGTAATGGCTGATAGGACTGCCAGAGAAATAGCAAAAAATGTACCTTCAATGGCTTGTTTCTTGGCCACTGCATATTCTGTAGACAGTTTCTTTAGCATATTGAGGTCAACTTCCATACCCTAGAACATTAAGCAGTTCGAACAGAAATCACATAATCAGAAGTAGTTTAAAACAAAAGCTAATATGATAAGGATGTTAAGAGGAAATTAGTGGCACCCATTGCATACATTCTAAAACCATTGTTATCTACTGACTGGCAACATGCAAGTGAAACTCTCAGCCTAACCATTAGAGAAGAATATTTGAACATATATTTCTAAGCAATATCTTGTAGGCAAGAGGGGCATATCTGAAGCAAATATGTACCATCATAAAATAACCTGAGATATGACGAAAAACAAAATTAATCAAGAAATGAGTGCTTAGTTTAGTACAGAAAAAATAATATGGTCACGATGATAACAAACATTATTCAACAAGAAAAGAAAATTACATCTCTTAACTTCATGCACAAATGTCTTCTGCAGTATTCATGAACTGCAACCAGTTCATGATGGGTCTCAGCTTTAATCTTAAACAACGTTCTCAGCACCACTTACATTAAGGAGGATCATACATTTCCTAATTGTTTTGTGTCCCTTCTAATACCAGTCATTGCAGTATATAGAAACATTAACATCTGCGTCAAAGGTGCCATGTGCTTCCTCTCATAATTTTAGCTGATGAGTTGTATAACTTACCAAGTTCATGTGGAGGTATTGCTCAATCTCAGTATCGGTAAATAACCTATTAGTCAAAAGGAAACCAGCAAATACTAAAGTAAAGTTAAATTGAAAATCATAATGAACATAACAGAACAAACTAAAATATAGTTATCTAAACCTACTTCTCATATGCAACTTGTATGCGCGCATCTTGTAACTTTGTCAGACTGTTAATTGTCTCACTAACCGAGCCCTCCTTAAAGTCTACAAACCCAAACAAAAACATATTTTTTTCCAGCATCCTTTTGACCAAAGTAGGCACTACTCTTATACCCTTTTCTTTTGCCTCAGCAACAAGGCTTTTAAGTTTCTTCAGCTCTCCTGTCAGTCGAGGATTCAAAAGCAAGCCGAAAAGAACAAAAAGATGAAGAAGAAATCACACAAAGTCAGATAAACAGTGGGATGCCTAGTCAACAAAATAATTGTATCATTACCGTTCTTATCATTTGTTGTGGTAAAAAACCGAGTTTTGAAATAGAAGTACCACTGTAAATACCATTCAGCGAAAATAAATTTAAGAAAATGTGGAAGTATACCGAGTGAGAGATAAATCTTGAAAGGAGGTTTGAATGGTTGAGTTTCATAGAGGCAGTAGAGGCAATAGAGCCCTCCTAGTCTGCAAGGTAAAGAATCAAAATTGACCATGTGACCTGCATAAGAGTACATGATAGTCACCAAAGGCAAAAGATCATGCAGACAATTTTATTTCTGTTTCTGGAAGCAAAAAGAAAGTGGCAAAAATAACAACCAAACAGAGCTTTTAAAAGAGAGAGAGACAGAGAGGCTTTGACATACTAATAGTATGGGCATAGAGTGACTGCATGAAAAAAGCTAAGTTCGTTGAAGGACTGGCCTCATAAATGTATGAGAATTTCCTCGATAACCATACTCTCTTCATATCATTTAACGTTGTTGATTCACTCTGTCAATTTGGAATCAAACAATTACTATATAAAATTTAAAACCAACACCCAGAACCAAGATTATGATAAAATTGAGAAGGAAAAAAAAAACCTGAACGAACTCATGAATAAGCTCGTCAATGTCTAGCTTGAACGTAGAAAGATCCATCTTCAGCTCTGATCCTCCACTTCTCTTGAGTTAATCCTCTTATTTAATCATCCAGCGAATTTTGTTAAAAAAAAAAACAGAGAAGAAGTGAATTTCAGTTACAGAGAGAGAGGGGCGGAGAAAGAAAGAGAAAGGGAGAAAGGAAGAAAGGAAGAAAAAGAATATCACTGGGTTAGGCGTGGTGTGCCGAAGCAAAACCGGCGGGCAGCTCAACGGAGGCGGGACAGAGACAGGAACGACGATTCACTGTGTCGTGGAGAAGAAAAAAGTATACAAGGGAAAGAGGGAAGATCTGAAAGAAAGGCAGGCTTAGGGCCAAGGGACTTGGGCCTCATTTGTGGCAAAGTTTATAATTAGATGAGCAAATAGATTGATTTTGGGCCGAAATCGAAACTAAATAAATGGATGGCAAACACGAGTACTAATAGTATCGGAAGATTAGCTTGGCATGACTTGTTGCTAACATAGCAACTCAAAAAAGGTCGTAGTTATACAGATTGGATTTCCTTTATATTTTCATGCTGTCTTTGATATACTGAGCTCAAACTTGATGAGCACAACTGAACGGGGAAATGCAAGTCACAATGACTTGAGATTGTGTTGTTTCAACGG